CTGACTCAGTTCAACTGTCAAGGATTTCATGGATTGATGACATGTTTTTGTTTGGTCACTACTTACTCTTTTCCAGCTTGCACCTATATCAGCTAGTAATGCCCGTCGGTGGGGGGTGGCGATGGTTAGGCATCCGCAGCACGTGACCTAGCCATCTCAATCTATGTAACTTTATAGCCAATCATATTGTTCGAAATAAGTGTTCAGACAAATTACGTCTTCTTATTTCTTGTCTAAATTCAGAAAGGGTACTAATTGTTTTAAAGATTTAATTTGTGGAGAGGGAATTTTTTCAAGTTTAACTGAGAAGTGATATCAATTAGAGGTTCTGGATTCGAACCCCAGAGGATGTGTACTACAAATGACTCCCAAACTAGGACGAAACAAGTATCCAGTAATCTCTGGTGTTTTCCAATGGTTATCTCACTGATATCGATCCGTGGTCAAGCTTGAAATATACACATACATAGAGAGAGAGGGATAAATTATTTATACAGCTCAGTGCAAATAAAACAACAAATTCGAATGAAATATGATCCAACTTCTGAAGATGCACATGTGAATTGATGACAAGAATGAAAAAGAAAAAAGGCAAGCCACTTGTATTCACTTTTAAGTTTCTTCTTATTCAATATATGTATGTATGTATATATATATATACAGTAATACAGGTGAACATAGATAAAACAGAGGTAGTTGATGAAGATTCCTGGCCAACGCCAACAGCAACAACAAAACAGACAACAGTAAGCAGCATAAATAGGAGGAACCTGAAAGAAACAACCTCCTTCACCAACCTACCTGAGAAGCATTGTTTCAACTACAGGTGGACGGAACTGATGAGGATATCAAAGAAGCGAGGATCGGAAAAGCAAGACAAGCTTTCATTACTCTCAAGTCTGAGTGGAGGTCAACAGCCCCACTCAGGATCAAAAATAAGATCCGGATTTTCAACTCCAATGTGAAGTCAGTCAGCGATACTATACGGATCAGAGACTTTCACTGCGTGTCATATAGAGCATCTCAAACAAACTTCAGACCTTCATTACCAGCTAGTTGTCTTCGCTCAATACTCAAGATCAGATGGTCGGCCAGAAAAGATCAGCAACAGGGATCTCTGGCAATGAGCGAACTAACAAAGCAGGAACCGATTGTGAAACAAATAGGTAGGAAGAAATGGAGATGGATTGGCTGGTCGTACTCTAAGGAAACAAACCATCAAGTGACATCACTAGACAAGCCATTCCTCGAGTGGAAATCGGAAGGTAAGCGGCAGGTTGGTCATCCAAGAGTGACTTGGAGGAGATCCTGTGAAGAGGAGATGAAAGCATGTGGGCAAACTTGGAGTGGGGTGAAAAAGTTGGCAGAAAACCGAAAGCAATGGAGACGCTCAGCTGAAGCCCTATGTTCCTCTAGGAATTAAAGAATGTAATTTATATATATATATATATATATATATATATATATATATATATATATATATATATATATATATATATATATATGATTAAACAGTCATTATCTCTCTTCTCTATTCAAACAAAACCAAGAATAAATGATCCCAATAAAAAAAGAACATTGATCAAATTATGATTCTGTTTGTTCAGTTCATGTTCATTTTTAAGAAGACATAAAAGATGGATGATACTACATTGTTTTCTTTCTTTTTCAGGCGACATGTTATTAGGCTGTTTACATCAAATACACTGGAATGTATCCGAATACCAGTTCACCACTTAGTTAAACATGTGAAATGACAAAGGTAGATTTATAGGTTCAGATGGATGGTGTATAAAATGTGATATGAGATTGTGTAGCCTGAGTTAGATTTTTTTAAATTATGAAGCTTTCATTGTCGATTTTCAGGAAGACGTTCAATGTGGAGTGGAGTTAGCACTGATTCTGTTGACTAGAAAGACAATGGAAGCTTCGAAATTAGTAGTGGCATGTCGTGAATTGACAAAGTTAGAAGTAAAGCACAGATGAACAACTTTACTTTTATTTATTTTTTGGTTATAGCTTGATTCCACACCGTATTTTTGGTACAGGTATGGAATTTTCATCATGTGATATCGCTAGCCCAAATTTTACAGGCCGACCATAGATATCAGATGTTCGTCGGCAGGGGATCGAACTCCGGACCTTGTGCATGGTCGGCGACAGTCATAACCTCTGTGCCACCCACGTACAATGGTTTCATTCTAAAAAGCGGGTTCAAACTCGTATTTATATACATAAGTTTATGATTATACTGTTGTTTCCTTTAGTTCCTAGAGGAACATGCGGCTTCAGCCTCACGTCTCCGTTGCATTCGGTTCTCTGACAACGTCTTCATGACTTGGCTAGACGTCTGCCGAGATGCTCTCATCTTCTCTTCACATCACCTCCTCCTCCTACATGTCACCCTCGCACTGATGACCAACTCACTGCTTCCCATTCCGCCCCCGCTCGAACGATGGCCCGGCCTGTGATGTCACTGCTCACTTGATGATTTGTTTTCTCAGAGTATGACCAGCCGATCCATCTCCATTTCTTCCTGCCTATTTGTTTCGCAATCGGTTCGTGCTGTGTTAGTTCGCTCATTGCCAGAGGTACCTGTTGCTGACCTCTTCTGGCTGGCCAACTGATCTTGAATAGTATTAAGCGAAGACACCCAGCTGTTGATGAAGGTGTGTAGTTTGTTCGAAGTGCCTTCGTGACGTGCCAAGTCTCTGATCTGTATAGTAGCACTGACTGACTTGACATTGGATTTGAAAATCCGGATCTTATTTTTCATACTGATTGCTGAGTGATGTTGATTTACACACAGACTTGAGAGTAATGACAGCTTTCATTACTTCCCCGATCCTCGCTTCTTTGACATCGTCATCATTTCCGTTCACCTGTGGTTGAAAGTAGGTAAGTAGGTAAGCAGGTTTCTTCTTTCATATTTCTCCTATCTATGTCGATTTTTGTCTGTTGTTTTTGATGCTGATGTTGCTGTCTGCCAGAAATCTTCATTACCTACCTCTGTTTTCTCTATGTTCACCTGAAGTCCTATATTCTCTGGATGCTTCTTCTGCCAACTTATTGCATTTCATTTGCGTATTTTCCAGTTTATGGGAAATCGGAGATAAATATCATCTGCAAAGTCCAGATCCTCCAAGTTTTTTTTATGTGGGTCCATTTTATGCTTATTTCCTCGCTTCTTGCCTGCTGTCTGTCGCATTGCACCACTCATACTTATTACTTCAGTAGCTTATAGGCGTAGCAAGTCATATTGCTTCCAAACTCACCTAAACAACTGATACATAGCTGAAAGCAATTCACAAGTATGATGAAGAAGATGTGTAGCTCAGGTGGATGATTTTGATGAATTTGTGTTCTCTGACCTGGATGGTTTAGCTTGCGATGCTTTCATTGCCTCACCACTAGGCAACATCTTCAGTGCATACTTCAATTTGAAGTAAGCTTTTAGATTTCATCACAAGTTTATTAGTCATCTCACCTGGTGACGACCTTGAACGTGATTGGTTGTTTGTGCGTGTGTGTGTTTTCACACTTTCTAGGCTACCTATATTAGTATTGATTGTTTCCTTGACTTCAGTGTGTGAGGGTTCCTTCTTATCGGTTGATAAATTTTGTCTATGTCGATGAGTTTATTCATTGACGATTCATTGGGATACCAGCCAGCCTTCTTAAAATTCTCTAGCATTCTTGGTATTTCCTCTCTCTAATATTTGAATGCTGGTGGTCCCAGTTGAATTGATGTCCGTGGTTGTCCGTATGCAGTGAATGATATGAGGAAGTGGATGTCATGTCTTCTGATGGCTAGTTGATGATCATGGATACGAAGACGAAGAGGACGTCCACTTTGGTTAATGTAGTGCTTTTCGCAGTTGTTACAATTTATATTTTGTAGATGATATTGGTTTTAAATTCTTTCGTTATTGAGTCTTTTGACTGACACAGAGCCAGCTGAGTGAAGTGATTTTGTTGGTTTATGTGCGACATCAATTCCTAAAGGTTTGAAGAGTCTTTCTGAGACTGGTTACAAATTCCCCTACAGAACTAAGGGAAAAGTATCACGGGGTATTGGAAAGCGATCTTTTTCATCTTAGTTCAGGACTCGATCTAGTGGACAATAAATTCCAACTCCTGACAATATAAGTAGCACAACCATCAGGCAATGTCATCAGCCAGTAACTTTCTGGCTAGTAGAGTCCTAAAATAGGACGAAATAGCCTTCAAGTACTCTCTGGTTTTCCAAAAATTAGTTCACTTTGTCTAGTGGATAGGAGACACTTTATGGATTAGATCACTTCACCTATGTGTGCGTGTGTGTGTGTCTATGCATGAGACAACTGAGAATGAAGCGCATACATCGGAAAAATTCTCACAGTTTGACTAAGTCAGCTTTAAACAAATAACCGTGTCTATGTGTGTTGTGTTTTAGCATTTTATGAACACGACAGTAGTAGAAAGCAGAAACTTCAACCGCTCAACAGAAGCAATAACAACAACAACATCGAAGAAACAACCGGATGTATTATTTTTCCCACAGTTCTTGTAAAATATTAGTGAATTATGAAAAACTATGTAGAAATTAACTCGTATGTGGCTTATGCTTCTCATTGCCTTTTTTTTATTTAACCAGTGAAGAGAGATAAACCAAATTCCGTGTGACGACGGTTTGTTTGTTTGTTCGGCTTTCTCTCTCACCGCACCCTAATAACTGAGTCAATTGTGAAGAGAAAAAACATGAAATAATCATGAACATTGACTTTCTTTTAATGAGTCATCTATCTCTGTCTCTCTCTCTCTCTCTCACCAGAACAAACCTATATCAGCGTTTTCCAATATACCTTTTAAAAGCCTGCAGGAAAAATACGAATATGTTCGTGATATTAACTACACTAAAACGCCTGTGTTTGTGTGTGTATGTGTGTGTGCACACACACGTGGTTTTGAAATGTACAGAGGCTGAGCATTTAGGTCCGATCAAACAAAGGGGAACTTACCATATTCAACTGAATAACTGATACCCATTGGACAAAAGGTATCTCTCGTAGTCTTCTTAGTGGTCTTGTGAATAAACATTGAGCGTTTAAAACGATAGGTACTGGGCTCAAGGCTCAGTGGGGACACCACCACTCACTGGAGAATTCAAGCACACGCAGATGATGTGTTTCAAGCAAGACGAAGTGGGCATCCGAGATTCTACTGCTAGTCACCATCCACCAAAATTATGCGCAGCGCATGTTTCATAAAACAGACAAACAAGCAGATAAATCAAGGCACTATTGTAGCGTGTGCTACTGACAAGATTTATAAGTAGTATATAAAGGGAGGTTCATTGAAACATAAAATATCGAATAGTGGACAGATAGATTTGACGTCAAACAGAGGAAATGACATACAATCAAAATATGAAGACCAAAAGCGGTACAATACGGAAGATCTGTGCGAATGACAATTTTAATACATATTTCCAAGTATTGGTTTTTGTAAGGATTTTGTTTGATTGGATGGTGGATTTCATCATAAGCTCACATCAGTTAGAGAACCACTGGAAAAGCTGGGAGTTCTGGACAGGTTGAAGATGAGGTAGTAACTCATCGAAGCAGAAGACATTACAAAATAGTCACGCTATGTCGTGAATTGGCAGAAGTTAGAACTCATGGATTGGCCATTGGATTGGGTCCCAGTGGCTCAATGATCTACGAGCTCACTAGCCTTGCGACCAGAAGGTCTTGGGTTAGAGCTGTGGCTGCTGAAGAGTCCAAAAGTAGGCTGGCGAAAGAGCTGCCCAGTACTCCCAGCTGGTTTACCAGTGGTCCTCCAAATGATGTCAGCTCATGATGAAATCCTCCATCTAATTTTAATTTATGATATACATAATTCCCCTATTTGGGTATATCCAAGTCTCTTGTCTTCTCTCGTTACGCTGTATACTGATGACCGATTGAGGTGAAGAGTTGGACACTGCTCACACTGACCAGGAGTGCTTGCTAACTGGCCAGGTCAAGGTGACCTGTACTTTGAATGGTCAAGCTTATCAATGGTGTACTCGATATTACTTAACTCAGAGAGACGAATCATTTCAAACCGCATACATCTATCCTTGCATCCTTGAATGTCGTGTATGCTATCATGCAGATCACAAATTTTTTGTGAAAAAATGTCACCTGGAGGAACTGTGTAGGCTGAATACCGTCAGTTCACCCAAGAATCTAGTCAGAAATCGGTTTGGTTTCAAGTGACTCAGCACTCTAGGCAGAGTCAAAACGAGTTCTATCTGAAACTAGTGAAACAGCCGTCTGGGTTTGCTTTTGGACCACTTCAATTTGGCTAGTGAGCACCATTGTGGTTGATATGAGTGCTATCCAACTACTCACTACCTCAGTCAATCAGTAATACTGTGCTAAGAGCTGGCTGCAAGCCAAAGTTGTAAACAACAATTCACATCAGTGTTTACGTCCCTGAATCATGATCATGAGAAAAAAACAATAACAAAGCTTGACCTTGAGGAGCTCAACAACCAATCACGATAGATCTAACATGTGCAAATATGATTCGCAGGCATTTGGCTTAACTTTCTATGAAATAGTCACAAGCAATACAAAATAACCTTCAGTAAGAAGACAACCGATTAGGAGAGGTTGCTTCTCTGCTAACAATAACGCTAATAATAATGTACATAGAAATCTATAAGTATCTGTTGATTTTATTAATAAACGATCTGTTGCCTGGCCCTTGTATTCTGTCGTTATCGTACTATGTTGTTTTACGAATTTATGTTGGTTCTTTTGATTACCACTTAATGGTATCAAGCAGATCACAAATTTTGATCTGGATAATTTCAGTTTCCAGAGGAAATTTTCCGCCGAAAATTTCACCTCTTTGAAATATACAAAATTGTAAACTGAGAAAGTCAAACAGGTGGCTACACCACGGAAAACAGCATACAAAGAGAAATTCAAGAGACGTGCACATAAGCAATAGCCAAAGAGTAACCAAACATTAGTTAGCGGACAGAGGTGATATTTTTTGAACTAATTTACGCCGTTTTACTGAGATTCTATTAACAATGACACTTAAAAGTTTTACGGACTGGGCATCGGCTTAGACTGACTATCAGAAGACTCCATCTGGCCCTGCTGAAGTCTCTCCAGATGTCAACTTTGATTTGACACAAGCTTAGAATCTCAACTGACCGATTTGTGTAATTGTACAGTCACTATTGCTTACTCTGTCGTTGAACGCAAACAGTTGGAGAGTAGGATAAGGCAGACGGCTTATAACTTGGTCTACTGAAAAACCTCCATCTCAATATGTATTGTATTTAATTTCTCCGATTAGGTTTGTTTAAATTTAATGAAATATGAACTCTAATAGTATTGATTACTCCGGTGAATGTTTAAAACATTTGTGGTGAGAGCAGGCTGCTAGCAAATTGGTAAACATTAATCTACGTCACTGTCTAGGTCACTAATATTGGCCGGGAGAAAATTTTGAACAAGGCTGATTCAACAACCAATCACCGCAGACTTAACGTGGGCAAATATGATTCGCTCCACTTTCCGAGGTTACCCGAAACAACCAATCAGAAGCCTGCGTTTGTCTACTTGAATGAGCTATAATAATGTACAGGAAATATATATAAATACGTGTTGATTTCCATGATAAAACGATCTGTTGTCGGCCCTTGTCTTCTGTTGTTACACATTTACAGCTTGCTCATTCACAAGTTTCTATTTAACATGAGACTAAAACAAGCATTATCCTCAACGGATGGCAATTTATCTCAATACATGGGATGACTGACAGAGAAGATTTGTAGCTCAGGTGGATGATTTGCAATGAATAGTGTTCTCTGAGCTGAATGGTTTAGTTGCCGCGGAGCTTTCGTCGTCCCCCTGCTGGATGGACAACATCCCTTGTCAGCGCAATATTTAGCATAAAGTGAAATGATTTAAATTTTTTCATGAGTGGTGATAGAATTGCGTCTCCCAGTAACCATCTTTACAACTGTAGTGACCATTTTCTATTGATTTGGATTTTAAACTTTCTGGTCACCTGATTCAGTTTTTTATTAGTCGGTATATTTTGTCTATATTAACGTGTTTGTTAATTGCATATTCGTTTGAGTACCAGGCTTCTAGGAATCCCCTGACTGCAATTTTGGTGATTCCTCTGTCTAAGATTTCGACATTATCCTAGTTATCAAACTGATGTCCATAATTGTCTATATGCATTGATATGAAACGGGAATATATATCGTGTCTTTTCACGGCTGATTTGTGTTCCTGGATTCTTATTCGAAGGGGTCGCCCACTTTGACCGATGTAATGCTTGTTACATACAGTTCATGCATGCAATTTATTTTGTAAATGGTGTTAATTTTATCCCCTTTTTCTGTTGGATCTTTTGGTTTGCATAAGATCGAACTAAGCGATTTGACTGGTTTTTGTACTATATCTATATCAAACGGTTTCAGTATTCTAGCTGTTATTTCAGAGATATTTCTCATGTATGGTAGGATGAATTTCCTTTTGGTCTTTGATGATGGTTCTTTGTTGGTGGTGTTTTGATTCGATTTTAAACACTTTTTGATGAAATTTTGTGGATAACCATTCATTCTTTTTGAAGACCGTTTGTAGATATTTTTCTTCCATTCTTTTCAACTCTGGAGTGCTAAATTGGGTGTTTGAACTCTTTTAAACAATGTCTGCACACAGTTTCGTTTGTGAGTAATTGGATTGTTGCTAGTATATTTAAGTATTTGAACTGTGTGTGTAGGCGTTGATTTTCCATATACTTGTGTTTCTAAATTTCCTGTGTTGGTTCTCCTGATTAAGACATCTCAGAATGGGATTTTGTTATCTAATTCTTCCTCTCTTGTGAATTTGATGTCTTCAAATATGTTGTTTATTAATTTATGGGTATATTATAAATCATTTCTCTTAATTATTACAAATGTATCATCAACGTAATGTACGTCACGTTAATGTAGACGAAATATACCAACTAATAAAAAACTAAATCAGGTGACCAGAAAGTTTAAAATCCAAATCCATAGAAAATGGTCAATTCAGATGTAAAGATGGTTACTGGGAGACGTAATTCTATCACCACTCATGAAGAAAAAATTTAAATCATTTCACTTTATGCTAAATATTGCGCTGACAGGGGATGTTGTCCATCCAGCAGGGGGACGACGAATGCTCCACGGCAACTAAACCAACCACCTCATAGAACACTATTAATTGCAAACCACAATTGATTGTCCAAATTACGAAATATATTTCGGAACCAAATCGCGGATTGAAGCGGAAGCTAAGCTAGATAGTTATCGTTCACGAAAAGAACACGACGGAGTACCAAATGGCTGGGATGCTTGACGAGAAGCCTTCAGCTAAACAAGTCGACTTAAACTCTAAGGATCAGCATCAATGTTCACTGATGATTCTTATGGTCACGATGTAATTCTTCTTTTAGACATAATCTATTCCTATAGTCAATAATTTTGGGGAATTATTTACGGTTACAATATCATTGCTAACGGTGTGTTCATTTGAAGGTTTGGAAATCGCTAAAGTCATTATATCTTATACGGTGACCAGTTAGCCACTTGAATATCTGTTTACTTCTGGCCGAGACGTATTTTCGGAGTTGCCTTCTCTTTTTGCAGTTAACAAAAACGTTACACTACTCAGCAGTAACAATTTTTTGAGGAGCAGCTTAGACTCGGTGAGAAAGGAAATAAGGGGCATTAATAATTCCTGCAGTTTCCGATCTCGTAGGCACCGACTTTAGTTACACGTCATGTCCTGCAGTAGAACTAACCTACCTGTAGACGTATGAATTTCTATAAAGTAATAGGTACCACTTACAAACTTAAGTAACCTTAGCTGACGCATATAACAAGTGTTATTCTGTCATCCCTTTGTGGCCGTTTCTCAGAAAGTCAGGCCACATATCTGCGAATTGGATTTACACACACTTTAAGTCTGCTGTGAATGGTTGGTGAGTCCAGAGTTCAGCTTTTTTATTGCTTTTCTCTTATCTTTGATTCAGGACATAACATTGACATAAATTGCTGTCTGCAATTTTCGGGGCTAGCAGCCAGCTCTCACCGCACCAGTACCTGTCACTTATCCACCACTGGTGAAAGGCTTTAGCTGTCAGTCAGATAATCATGCAGGAATACTTAATTGCTT